CTTCGCCTGCGTGGCGTCTCTCCGTGGAACAAAGTACACCTTCATCGCACAACACACGCGCACCACCGCACACACACGTGTACCATTGCACACGCACCACCGCACACGCTCGCGCTCACGTGTCTCGGTGGTCACAGCTGGCGATCTGCGAGCGACATTCGCTCTACGCAGAGGGCGTCGCCCTCGCCACCTCGCTCGCGTCGGAGCTCCAGCTGGTCGACAACAACAATGACAACGCCGACGAGCAAGCCGGCCAATCGGCCACGGCCAAGGCCGTCGACAATAACACCAACGACGCCGACGACGACGCGGTCGAGGCCCAGTTCGGCGGCGTCGGCGGCGGCGATGATGGAAACGAGAGCGGCGCCACGAAGGGGCAGACGGAGAAGGCGAAGCTAGTCCGCTACTGCCTCGCCTTCGGGCACGGCGCGGCCAAGTCGACCGACTGGAAGTGCGCCATCGAGGCCTTCCGCCTCGCCGCACGCCTCGACCCCTCGTACGTCTCCCGTGTGTCGTGTGTCGTGTCGCGTCATGCGTGTCGTGCGATGACAATGCGTGTTTTTGGTGGTTGCAGGGCCTATCGGCACTTGGCGGCCACCACGCTGCTGGCCGCGACCAAGGGCGCCGCGATCGACCCGCAGCAGGCCGCCCTTCCCGCCCTGCACGCCGCCCTCTCCGCCAGCGACTCCCTGCGCCACCAGGTGACAACCTTTTTTTTAAAAAAAATATTTATTGATTTACAAATCATCCATTTGCCTTTGGGATCATTTTCTTTTACTTATGACAATTATTCATTTCCCTTGTGTGCGTGTGTCGTGTGTCGTGTGTCGTGTGTCGTGTGTCGTGTGTCGTGTGTCGTGTCATCAGGCGAATTGGGCGGCGATGCTGGTTCCTCTGGCGAGGGGCGCGGGCAAGGGCGAGGCGGCGCGGCCGGTGCCGTTGCTCCCGCCGCCTTCTCTGCTGACGGGCGACGTGCCCCTGTTCCGCTTCACCTCACCGCACCACCACTGATGCGCTGTATCACCACCCTTCCCCCCCTCCCCCCTATATAGACTCTGGTCCAGTGCTTGCGGCTAAAAAGGTGAAGAAGTACGACTGGTGCATTTTTTTCCCCCCATTCATCATCAATGTCGTCCACGCCATGCGTCTCATTGGAACAGAAAGCGGCGAGGACAAGCGCAATAGGGGGTTGTGGTTCATAATTTTTCGGCGTCGCATCTTGCAGGCCAACGATGCAAAGATCGGTCTGCAGCTCGTCCTCCAGTGGCGGTCAAACAGCACAACATTGAGATTTCACCACTGAATTCTCAATATTGTCCATCCATCTGTGCATCACAGTGTTGGTGTGTCGTGTGTGTGTGTGTATCGTGTGTATCGTGTGTTGTGACTCTGACGTTGGTTGTGTCACCGCACAGCACACACAAGACACGTACAAGGCAGGTTTTGTGCGAAGGTTGCGATGGTCCCATAATGGGCGGAGGGTGGAGAGCATTGAAGTGGGCCAGGGGCCCTGTGGGGAAAGGTACTAATCATCCATCGCATTTCGTCTTTGGTTCATGGTCTACATCACTTAAAGTGGTGGCCTGCTCGTCCCTCCATTCCGAGGGGCTGAGCGGTTCCCAACAACTCAACAACAACATAATTGTGCACCAACACCATAACTGCCACACATATGGCAGACAACATTCGAGGCATGTGGTGATGTCAACACCTGTACTCGTTCACACGGTTCCCCTCCATCAATATAGTCCCTTGCCAGCAATCCAACACTACACTGCCATAAAAAATTGCGTGGTGACCGTGACATCATCAAAGGGAAGAGGTGGAAGTGGCGGGCGGTGGCGGAAGGGAGGCCACCCACTTGGCCATCAGTTGGTGCGCGATGGCGCTCTTGGCCGGGATGCGCCATTCCGCGCTGGCCCACATCAGTCGCGGGTTCTCGGCCATCTGTCGCACGCCTGCATGGTGTGTCGTTTGCGTGTCTTATCAGTCGCGTGTGCGTGTGCGTGTGCGGTGAGCATGGTGGTACCATTTTCGATCTCTGCGGGTGTGAACCAGCGAGCGTCGGCGATTTCCCTTCGGTCGACGTTGATCTCAGCCTTGAGCGCGTGGGCGAAGCAGCCGATCATCAGTTCCGTTCCTGTGTATCACCGTGTGTGTCGTGTGTGTCGTGTGTGTCGTGTGTGTCGTGTGTGTCGTGTGTGTCGTGTGTGTCGTGTGTGTCGTGTGTGTCGTGTGTGTCGTGTGTGGTTCGAATATTAGAATTGTGTGTGCAGTGTGAGTGTGGTGTGCGCTGCAAAAGGGCGTACCGAAGGGCCATGGCTGGCTGGCAAAGTACTCGACCTTGCCCACCTCGATCCCGCTCTCCTCCCACACCTCCCGGCGCACCGCCTCCTCAATCGTCTCGCCCGGATCCCTGCATCCGCCCCGGGGAAATTCGCGTCATCAATCACGCCGCACACGCACCACCGCACACACACGAGACGCACGTACATGAAGCCGGCAAGGCAGGACCACATATTGGTGAGACCCGAGACGCGGTTCTGCGTGCCCAGAAGGCACTGCCGTCCGTCGGGATGGATCACCAGCATGATCACCACCGGGTTGGTGCGCGGGTACTCCCGATTGCCGCAGCCCTTGGGTCCACCTTCACCCCAACCACCACATTAATAATTATGCCTAATTATTAATAAATTAATTAAGTAAAATAAGTAAATAGAGAAAAGAAAACGCAAAAGATAAGAAATAAATAAAAAATAAAAAACTGTGGCGGGAAATAAATACCGGTGGCGGGCACGGGGTCGGTCTTCGGAGGCGCGGCGTTGGTGCATTGCCGCTTGGATCCGCCCTCGATCGAGCGCGTTGGACTGCCGCACACTCCACAGTACTTGTGCTTGGCATGCCACTCAAGCAGAGCTCGTGCCTGTGCCATGAGTGCGATGAGTGTGTGCGCCGTGTGTTGTGTGTCATGAGCGATTTGGAGAGGAGCGGTGCTGTGCGGTCCCGGGTGTGGAGCGTACCTGTGCGAGAATGCCGGCCTCCTCGTGAATGAGGAAGGGAGAAACGCGGCGCATGTCGATGAACTCTGCGGATTCGTCGCTGTCTGTGAGCGCCTTGGCACTCTCCCCGGGCAACTAAACTCGCACCCACACCCACACCCACACGCACACGCGTGAACACCCGGATTTCGATCTCGTCATGCACTGAAGGGTGGGCTCTGGTGGGAGCAGCGCTGGCGGCAGCGTACCTCGACGGCATAGTGTGCCGTATCGTTGCGCAGGCCCAGCAGGACCACTTCGCCGACTGAGAGGTGGTGCAGGCGGGGCGTTGTCAGCGGATTGCTTCTTTGGGGTGTCGTATCACACCACACACACCACACACACCACACACACCACACGCACATCCCAGGGCGTGGCAGTACCTCCACCAGCCAGTCTGGTCACCTCGCTCAGGCTCTTCCAGCGAATCTCGCGCGTTGCTGCACGACACACACCGACACACACGTGGGCAGGGTGAGCACATGTCGACGGCAACCGATAAGCGCGACCACACGAATGAAACGAAATGAACGCCACCGCCTGTCGCTGTGGGACACCAGATGGAGTCGTCTGCCTTCTGGTGGTCTTTAGCAACCCCCGGCAGCGCTACAAGATAAATAAAAATAAATACAATAGGAAAATAATTCCTAATTGAAAATAAATTAAAAGAGTGCATTCGAAATTTAATATTTAACAATAATAAAATAATAATAAAATAATAATACTACCGCGGTGATGATGGGCGTACGTGTCGCGGACTCGTCAGAGCTGCGGAGGAGCAGCGGCGAGAGTCGGTGGAAGGGAATGCACACGGAAGCGGCGCTCTCCAGCTGGGTGGCAAGGAAGGCCACGTCCTTCCTTCGATTATTCACCCGATCCAATGGATTGCCTGGGGTCGCGACGCGTGCAAGAATGAATGACTGTAGATCGAGCGCAGAGGCTTGGGGCAGCAGCGCACGTACCACTGAACGTGATTGAGATCTCATAAGGCGAAGCACTTGTTTGGTCTTCCATCTTGTTGTTTGTGTTTGTGTTTACATGTTTGCTTCTGTGGCGGCAACACGCGCCCGGACTCAAGCTATCGGCGGAATGTAACGTGCAGCCTTCGTGCACCACAAACATCTTTGTAATTTCTGATATTGGATTCACAACATTATTCACAACATATTCGTATACGATCGTATTGCAGCATGAGGCCGTGAACGAAGCTCTTTCGAAACGGCAGCCGTACAGGGCGTGCACGGGCCTGGTGTTGCTCAACCTTTCCAGCCACCGGTTCTCCGAGCTTTGGCTTGGTTGGCGTTGGCCTCGTCGCGCCGTTGGGCGGCGATGTCCTCCGCACTTCGGCCCTCGGGTCCGTTCCAGGGGAAGTGGTGGCAGATCTCGCGGGCCGGGAAGTCGGCCGGGTCCATGCTCTCCTCGAGCGACGCCGCCGGCTTTCGCGGCGGAAACGAGTACGGCCCGTTCTTGTCGTACTCGACCTGCACACCACGCACATATAAGTGGTCGATCGCACACGCACGCACCAACGCACACGCACACACACCGCACACGCACACGACGATACACGTGGTGGTGCATGTGAGGAACAAACGTACGCGAGGGAGGCCGATGGGGTCCTCCTGCTGAGTGGGTCGGAAG